CCCCGAGTGATGCAAACAGTTAACATGCCCAGATGCCAACACAGAAGAATCTCACAAGAAAAGCCTGGTGACCTATGTCTGAAAACTCAGGCATTGAAAACCATAGTGGTGGGGCATAGTTTTACTCTAGCACACACGGAATCATGATAAATCAGAGCTGACTCAATGACCCCTAGGTTTAATTCATTGGCAGGTTTTCTATAAAGCTAAGTTAAAATCATTGGAGACGGGGGTTTATTTGTTTGTTTTCCTTACTATTTTTATTTTTATTGTACCAAAATTACCAGGAATAATTATTTTCTGTGTAAATTTCACAACAGAGATTCGGCTCACAGATCTTTTTTAGTTTGGGGTCCACATCAAACTTATCAAAGAGAGCTCCCTGAAATGTTGAGTGTCCTTTTGTGGAATTATTCCTATCAAGTCCAACTGTCCTGGGCCAGTGTTTGCAGCTATCAACAGGATTCTTCTGTCAGCTTTAAAATTCCTTTAACAATTTTACCACGTACAACCTGAGCTACTGTTACTATGTGGTGGTTATTTCCATCAATTACATTTGTAAACTGTTACAAGAGTGATCGTGTGTATTTATTTCTCAGCTACTCCTTGAGAAAAACGAAGAACAATTCCTTTCAGGGTTGCTCGACAGCAAGGCTCCTCAACCCAGGTGCTCATGGGAATTGCTTGGACAGCTTTGCAAAGTACTGATACCTATTCCCTATTCTGGAGGTTCTCATTTCTGGTGTGCAGCCTGGCCAGAGGTACTTTTTAAAACTTCCAGCCCTGGTGGGAACACTGTTTCACATGTCTACAGCTGCCTTGATTAACATAGTAGCCAACCATGTGTAGTTATTCAAATTTAGATTTAGAGTAATTTAAATTAAAGAAACAATTACAATGCAGTTCATCAGTTACACCAGCCAGTACAGAGAGACTGCTTCCATCATCTTAGAAAGTTCTATCAGCAACAGCTGGGCTCGAGTCAGGATCCCTGGTTCTCAGCTATTCCTGCACAATAGAGTCATCTGAGGAGCTCATGATGACCCAACCACCCCAAACCCAAACCCATAGCAACTCACAGCAACCCTATAAGGCAGAGCAGAACTGTCCCAGAGGGCTTCTAAGGCTGTGAGAGTGGTGCGTGGGTTCAAACCACCCACCTTTCAAGTAGCAGCCAAATATTTAGTCACTGAGCCTCCAGGGCTCTCATGACCCACTGTCACCCCCAAACCAATTAAATCAGACTCTCTGGGGTGGGTCACAAGCATTCATGCATTTAAAAGTGGACCCAGTGATTCTATTGTATAGCCTTGATTAATAGCCACTAAGCTAGCGTCTGGAGTCCTGGTGTGGTGCTGTGGGTTAATACACCAGACTGCAAAGCCAAGGTCGGCAGTTCAAGCTCACCAGCGGCTTCTCGGAAACCCTATACAGGGTTTCTATGGGTTGGAACTGACTCAACAGCACTTAACAATAACAATATGGTTAATTAACGTCCCAGGGTGAAAAATGTGTGACTTTGGCACAAGTACCTGGCCAAAGATCAGGGTGGCCTCCCTTCCAGTTTCTCTTCCAGGAGCCGAGAGTAAACAAAAGTTTTCCAGTGTCCGGGACAGGATTCCAGCATCTGTGATTCCAGCATCCTGTCCAGCTGGGTTAGCCGAGGTGCCTCCCATTCATAGGAGCAGAGTTTCCTTTTATGTGCGTTTTAATCCTCATTTTATTGACTCAAAGTTGACCCCTCACCATCCCACGCCCCCCAGAAGCTGGCACAGGGATTCCTGAGGCTTGGGGCTGCTCCTCTCCCTGGATTGGGTGGAGTACTGAGGAGTCTGGAGACACACTCCCAATACCCAAATAAGGCCCCCTCCTGAGGCATGCACAGCTCACCAAGATCTCTCTCTGAGCCAAACTAGACCAGTCTGGTCTAATGATGGGTTCACTTCAGTCATCTGGGAAAACCCAGAAATGTCAGTTCCCCAGAAGTCAAAGGGAGCGAGGAGAATGGAGGTGAGGGTGTTGGAGGAGGAAGAAATGGAGGGGAGAAAGAAGCAAAGCAAGAGACAATTGAGACAAAGGTGCAAAGCATGAGACTGAAGATAGTGAACGGGGCATTCAGGGGAAGTCTAGAAACAGAAGGAGGGAGAAGGTAGAATCAGGAGGGAAAGGAAGACAGTGTTAACCAGCATGAAACTTCTTGGTTCATCTGCTTCTTAGTCTCTGGGGTACGGGTAGTGAACTCACAGGAGACACTCTGGCAGGGGGAGTGGCTGAGTGGAATTTGAACATTTAGTCAATGTGAAGTAGATGTTTGAGGAACTGGTTTTCAGCAAACTGGCTTTGCAGTTAACTGAACATATTGGGAAACAATTCCAGGGAGCAGACTGCTCCCCAGGAGCGAAAGGACACCATAAAACCAATAGGAGGACCCCCAAAGTACAATGCCCCTGCCTCCTGGTGTGACCTCTAGCCCACAGGGTCAGAAGAGCCTATGCATGACACTGGCTGAGTGTCACCCTGAGGTGACACTTGAATTGATGCAAAACAGGCTCAGGAACTTTGCTTATATGGTGCCTTTGTGATCTTAGTCATCTCCCTACAGGGCCAGCCAGGCTGAATGTGATCATGAAATGAAACACGCATTTCCTCTGCATGGCCTGCAGTAACCAGACTCTCCAGGCAGGCAAGTTCCTCACTCAGATTTCTTAACTTCAGCATAACCAGGAAAAGTGAACTCTCCAGAAGGGCCCAGCACCCACCTGGGGGTTCCAGGAGCCTCCAAGAGAGATGCATAGAAGACTCAGTGCTTATGAGTACAAAGTCCCACCCTCCTATCCCAGCCCTACCAGGACTGGCTTCTGGGAAAACCAGTCTCTAAGGGTCTCAGTTTCCCCACATATAATGATGACATCTATAATAATATTTAATGTCTACCTGAATAATAAAAAAGACACTATATGCAAAGACTCAGCGAAGTTCTAGGAAAGCACGCACTGTTGCAGTTATGCTATTATCATCCTCAACCTGGCATCTGAGGCCCCTACCAGGCTGTCTTCTCATAGGGCCTGGACAACACACATTGCCTGCACCTTCTGGGCTCTCTAAAGCTTTCTCCTGCCTCCAACTCAGTCTGAGTAGCCCTCCTCCCAACCAGCCCCAAGTCACTCCCTCCCTGGCCTCTCATGCTAGCCACAGGCTGCCTTGTTTCCACAAAATATCTATTATCTGAGGGTAGCTTACAATGAATTAAACCATGCTTCATGTGCAGGCGGAGGGCTGCTGAGGTCCAGAGTTGGACATGACAGGTCCAGGATATTCTAGGCAGCATTCAGGGACACCACACTTTGCAGCTCCCGCCACCTCTGAAGGGCCCAGAGAAAGTGCCCCGCCCTCCACACACCAGGCACTCCTGGCTAGCAGGGTCCCAAGTAGACAGCAGCTGTTGGGGTTTTTTTCCCAAGCTTTTAAAAATTTCAAACTTTCCATGTCCCTCATCAGTGTTGCCCAGGTCCCTGAATCTTCCTTCCTGCTTTCTCCAAGTAAAACAGTCAGGCCTCCCCACTCCCCACATCCCAGCCTGGACCCCCAACATAGGCTGACCCAATTGCAATCAAAAGCTCCCCTACAGAACCTTTATCCAGAGGGCGTGAAGGAAGGGAGAATCTCCACTGAGTAGTATATAATCTGTCTAGGCGGGGCTGATGAAATGAAATGCGGATATGTCTCTTGTGATACAATAGTGAATAATTGTTATCAGGACTGATTATGACGGTTGGAAATGTAAAGGTAGATGTTTTGTAGCAAGGAGAGGAGTGATTAACTTCACAGTTTAGGAGCGGAGGTCCCTGGGACATTGAAGGGAGAAAAGCGGAGAGTGGGACCCTACCCAGAGAAGCAGTGATGCCTGAGATGGAGGCAGAGATGATGACGTGGAGAGATGGAGAGGCTGGGGACTTTAGACCCAGAGAGGGAGAGGGGCTGTGTGCTGATGACTGGGGGAAGGGGGGTGGCAGGCTTATAGGATATACCCCTTGGTTGGTTGATGATACATGGAGGGGATTGTAACCATAGCAATGAAACGATATACAATAGGATGAATGTAAAACTAATGTTCTCCCATGTAAACCATCACATAATTCACAATAAAACATTAAAAAAAAAAAAAAGCTCCCCTCCGATCGGGTCACAAAACAGCAAACCCAGGCCTCAGGAAAGGGCACCAAGAACACGAACCTACCCCTTCAGGCACCTACCACACAGCTTCCATCCTGCCCAGCAGGGACCACCAAACTCCTATCCTGACATTTCAGTCCACACTGTGGGGCTCATAGGCTGTGTCTCCAGTCTACCCCATACCCACAGCCAACAGGTCTTGTGTGACTGGTCTCGCCCACCCCACCACCATGTATGAGGTCCAGGAGCTGAAGGACAATGAAAGGACCTGCTACCTGCTTTTACCACAACTTTGCTCTGTTGTTCTCCCTGCCTAGAAAACCCTGCCCATTAGATAATGAAATAACGCAGAAAACAAGGCCCCAAATGTGCTAACAATGATTACTCTGAAGACTTCTAAGCCATAAACCTCACCTCCAGTGCCTTTCCATGACATCTTCCTCAACAGCTCCCGCTAGATGCAGCCCCTCTGTCCCTGCCCACCACCTGGATGTGCCCACTGCCCACCACCTGGCAGAGGGAGCCCGTCCACAGTAGCCTCTGGGCTGGAACAGAAGATAGGGACCCTTTTTCTGCCTAGTCCCTGGAGCACACGCCATCTGTGCCAACGTGCAGACACATGATTCTAGCTCTTCCTGCTTTCCCTGAATCCAGACAGGTCTCACAGTCACCCCCAGGTGTCTGCCTGAGGCTGCAGCCAGGCTTCTGCCCAGCATCCCCCCGGGGGTCAGGCCCACAGAAGCAAGTGCATCCAAGTCCCCAAGGGAACCTGGAAGAGTCTGCACCCACCTTTAGGCCTCAGAGCACCCCTTCCTCACCCACCTCACCTGTTTCTCCCCATGGTCTCATGGTCTTTGACCACCACCTGAAGTTCGGAGCTCTGGTCCAGGGGAATGCCCTTGAGGTCCCACTCAAAACCCTAGGAGAAAAGGAGAAAGGCATCTTAGTCTGTGGCCTCCTAGGAGAAAGGACTGTATCTGGTTCAACACATTGCTCACAGCACTGAGCAAGTATCTATGAGTGATGTTGGTGGATGAATGGAGGATAGGTACATGGATGAATACCAGGGTCCCAGAGCTTCAGAGGGGGCAGTGAGAAGAGAGGCAGTGGAAAAGAAAAGTCAAATTCCCCATGACTCACTTCCACCAACACAATTCCAACCCATCCCCAGGACACACAGCTGGAGATAGTATCAGGTGACCCTGCAGGATCCTTAAGTGCTCTTCCAGAAGCCTAGTCCCTGGTGGGCAGCATGGGTAACTGCCACTTGGATAGGATCAGCCAGGACCCAATGATCCTCCTCAGGGCATTCCAACCCCTTCCATACCAGCCTACCTGGGTGCCCCAGGACCATACAGGGAGTCACATGCAGGAAGGGGGAGGAAAGGGAGGAGCCCCAGGAAGACCTGATTAACCTGGGAGGGCTGAGGGGAGGAAGTGAGCGCTGGGCAGAGAGCTAGCTCCTCCTGTGTGAAGGAGACAAGACAGGCAAGAGAGGCCAGAGTTGAGGGAACTGTAAGGAAAGGCCTCTTACTCCTTTCCCCCTTGCATTCCATCCTAGAGCCATGTCTCCATTACCAGGCCAGGTCACAAGCCTCCTCCCAGGTTCCAAGAGCCTAGAAGATTTAGTTATTCCTCCTTCATGATGCCACTGAAAAACTCATCTCCCCAGGGGCCACCCTGACCTGTCCCTGCAGAGGCAGCAGAGGAAAAGGAAAGAGGGTGGAAACACTCACATACCTCATTCCACACAGGGTTCACGCTGTTCTTTATGACCTTCGTTCTCTTCTTCACCCCTAGAAGAGACACAAAGAGAGTGTGGGGAGCCAGATCCCACGCCTGCACCTTCCATGGAGTTAGATTCTGAGACCCACACAACAGCTTGCCTGCTGCAAAGGGAGACCTTACAAAGCCAGTCGGTCCTCTGAGAGTGCTGCCCAGCCCCAGCCAGTGTCCTAATGTCAACACACAGCTTCTCTCTCAGCTGGGGGCTAAGGAACAACAACGCAGTCAGAAGATGTTGTAAAGAAGACACGCTGATTTCTTTGTGAATTTGTTATTGTTATTCCTGACTTGTTTCCCACCACCACCTAGGTGCCAGGCACTTTATAAGGAGTCCTACTCTGGTAGCGTAGTGGTTACGAGTCTGGCTGCTAACCTCATGGTCAGCAGTTTGAAACTACCAGATGCTCTGCGGAAGAAAGATGAGACTTTCTGCTCCTGTAAAGATTTAAAGCCTCAGAAACCCTACGCAGGGTTGCTATGAGTCGGAACCAACTCCATAGCACACCACCACCACAACTAGTGTAAGTGTATTATGTGCTGGGCTGCTAACCGTAAGATCTTTACTTCGAATCCAGGAGAAAGATGAGGCTTTCTGCTCTTGTAAAGATTTACAGCCTAGGAAACCCTACACAGGGTTACTATGAGTCAGAACCACCTTGACAACATGTCGCCACCATCTCAGGACAACAGTTTCAAGGGTTCAGCCAGTATCTGTGACTCCATGAGAATCTGAAATTTTCTTCTTCGTGTTCTCCCTTTTGATTAGGATTCTTCCATGGAATCTTTGATCAACATATTCAGTAATGGTAGCTGGGCATCATCCATTTTGTTTGGTCTCATGGTTGTTGTTGTTATGTGCCATGGAGTCGGTTCCGACTCACAGGGTTTCCAAGGCTGTAAATCTGTAAGGGAGCAGAAAGCCTCCTCTTTCTCCCGAAGAACAACTGGTGGTTTCGAACTGTTAACCCTGAGGTTGGCAGCCCGATTCATAACACCATGCTACCAGAGCTCCTTGGTCTTATGGTAAAGAAGACAATTAGCCACACATTCCATAGTCTCCTCCTATTCCTTATTCTCCTTTCTCTCTTACTCCAGATGAATAGAAACCAATTGTTGTGCTGTTTGTAAGTTTTTAAGACCCCAGACACTATTCAATAGATTAGAAAGTAGGGCAGAAACACTAAACATGTTAGTAGGCCAAATAACTAGGAAGTCCCATGAAACCAAGACCTTAAACCTCCAAACTAAGAAATCAAATCCCATGAAGTGTTCGGTTGTATATAAATCAATGCCAGCAGCTACTTTTTTGGCATTATTATAAATATAGCTATCACACAACTTTCGCTAAATTCAACTTTTTACAGCTGGACAATTTATTGGCAGCAGTTACAACTATCAGTTGCACAACCCTTCCCTTAAGTAATATTAGCTCGCCATCACCATTAACCCCCTTCTTCCTATCTCGGGTAACCACTAATAAACTTTGGTCTCTATACATTTGCCTTTCCTTGTTTTTTTATATAAGTGAGGTCATATACTATTTGTCCTTTTGTGACTGGCTCATTACACTCAGCATCTCTCTTCAACTCCATCCATAAAATAGCATGTAGCAAGACTTCATTTCGCCTACTTTCTAAGTAGTATTGTATAATACAGATGTAACACATTTGGTTTATCCATTCATATGTTGGTAGGCATTTAGGTTGTTTCCACCTGTGGGCTATTGTAAATAGTGCTGCGCAAGTGGTTTTTTGAGTTTCTGCTTTCATGACTTTTGGGTATATAACTAGGAATGGATACGTTATGTGAATTTTACCTCAATTTTTTAAAAAATCACCTTCACCATTTAAAGCTGTGAATGGATCTGCCTGAAGTAGGCTGGCTTAGTGCAGCTCTGTTTGGATCATGAAGGCTGGGCTAAGGAAGGGTAGACTGGTTTTGGGGTAGACAACAGGAAGAAATAACACTGTGATGGTTGAAACCTGACCTATATTGCCCCAGATGACACACAGGGGGAGCTTCCTCTAGAGTCTTGAGCATAAACATGTAGATGTCTGAAAAGGAAAGCAATGAGGAGACCTTCCCCTAACTCTCAGGCCCTATGACTATGAGCAAGGAGATCATTTCACAAGATCCTGGGGCTGAGGGCTAGACTGCAGCCCCCTGGTACATGGAAGACTTTGCACAAACGCATTCCAGAACAAGGAATGTGCACCAACACTTCTGACCTCCCTCTTTGTTGTCATTGTTAGGTGCCACTGAGTCAGTCTGACTTATAGCAACCCTATTCTCAAGAGAACGAAATACTGCATAGTCCCTTCTAGAGGGGCCATCAAATGGTCTGATAAGATCAAAGTGTCCCATTACACAAAGCAGAGGACCATTCCAAGAAGACAAACTAACCCACCTGAAAAAAGAGATATTGCCAAAGAAAAGAGACAAGTCACTTAGTAGTTTTGCTCTGCAATGCTTTGCTTTGAGAGATGCCAAACCAAACCACTGCTATCAAATCAATTCATGCCCCATAGGGTTTCTAAGGTTGAATTCTTTACAGAAACAGACTGCTACATCTTTCTCCCACTGAATGGCTGATGGGTTTGAACTGCCAATTTTTTGGTTAGCAGTTGAGTGCTTAAACTACCATGCCACCACGGCACCTCACAAAGACATGTTGTTGTTGTTAACTGTCATCGAGTCAATTACAACTCATAGCAGCCTTATACAGAGTTTCTGAGGAAGGGTCAGTGGATCTAAATCACCAACCTTGTGGTGAGCAGTCCAGTGCTTATACTACAACACTATACCAGGACTTCACAGGAGGCCTGTTGTTGTTGTTGCTATCAAGTTGATCCAGACTCACAGCAACCCTGTGTAGGGTTTCCAAGTAGCAGCTGGTGGATTTGAATGGTTAGCAGTCTGGTGCTTGTCCTACAGCACCATACCAGGAAGGACTAAAAGTGTTGACTTTTCCATTGAGCATCAGGATCAGAAGTGATTCAGTGCTCACTGGATGTTTTAAAGTGTTCAGACACTTACCTTTTATTTGGATGGGATCTTAAATATTAACCAGTTCAACAAGAAGAGGGAGTGGAATGGAAGAACAAGGCTGATGGGAGAACAGTTAGGCAGGTTTGCATGGGCTGAGTGGGACAGAGATAAATGATGATGTATGTGCAACCTTGGAACAACAGGGATCTGGGATACAGCGACTGAGGCATGGTTTGAATGGGTAAAAGAGAGGAATAATGTTAAGATGCTTGGCTGTCTTTTGAATCTTGGTTTCCCTTGCCTACCACTGTAAAATAGACACTTGAAGGGGGGGAGAAAGGAATAGCCAGAAACATCACAATAGAAACTTATAAGTCCATCTTCAGCCTATAACTCATTGGAATACCTTAAAGGGGGCTAGAAGTTGCCCAGTGAAAGAGGCTTCCTGTGGAGCCTTTGCATTGCATAAGACCACAGGTGGAATCCTGAACCCCATCCAGAATCATCTGAGGTGGGAAATTTCCACTTGAAAGGACAAGTAGACCAGTCTGGAGTGGCTAGAAGAACAGAAGATACTTCTTGAAAGAAAGTCTGGCAGGAAAAATCAAAAACAATAATGGCAGTCTGATTGATTACTACAAGAACAAGAAACCTGTTCGCCCGGGAGCCGTCAAGGCAAGTGGTCAGGTCCCCTCAGAGCAAATCCCCTTCCAAGACTGAGACTCAAGGGGAAAACACGAGCAGGCATGTGTTCTGGCTGGTGACCACGCTGGTCCCCAGTGAGAGAAAGAGAGGTAAAGACAGCAATGAAGCTGAGAGCTAAGTCCAACAACATTCAATAGACTCCTGTGAACCCAGGTGGAGACCTGGTTGGCCAGCAGTACGGCAAGACCCAGGACTCCTAGGCCCAGAGGCAGTGACATGGCCACAGAGGACTAGAGCAGAGAGTGAAGCATCCAGATGATATGAAGTGAAGGGAGATGCACCAACAACATCCATACTTGCAGATAGTACCCACCTGACCTGGCTTTGATGGCTGGATGATCAGAACTCGACTAGAAGTCTCTGAGTGTTGAAAACAGGTAAAGCACTCAGCTGCTAACTACAAAGTTGGCAGTTCAAGTCCACCCAAAGGTACCTCCAAAGTGCATCCACTGAATTTCTGTGGAGCACAGTTCAATGCTGATGCACATGGGGTCACCATGAGTTGGAACTCACTCAATGACCACTGATTTCTACCTGGGCTATAAAAGCCCCCCAACCCTCTGAAACCTCTTAGGATGCTGAGTCTTCCTCCCAAGCTGAGCATTGTCCAGTGACTTATCCTGTTGCCGTTGTGCAAGCTCCTGTGGGTCCCCTCATCCAATCCCGAACAATTTCAGAGCACAGAAAAGAAGAGGAGGAAAGCAGACAGTGTTCAAGGATGCAAGCAAAGCTTGTAGAAGGATGTGGAGGAGAGAAACAATCAGAAAAAGAAAGAGCAAAGGAAAAACGTGGAGAAAGAAACATCTGAAGGAAAGAGGCCGAGAAGACGCAAAAGATTCTAGGGCAGTTCAGTTGAAAATACTAGAGTCCACCATAGATTCTGATCAACCTCCTCAGTGGGAGAGGGTGAACCCTCAACAACCCCTCATTCCTGTTGCAAATCAATGATGTTGGAAAAGAATATGGGCTTTAGAATGGCACAAATCATGAAAGAACACAAGGGGGCTTGAAAAACTTCATGGACAGCCCCCTCTAAGACTGAAATTCAAAGGGAACACATGAGCAGGCATGTAAGCTTGCTGGCGACCACATTAGTCTACCGGTGAGTGGAAGAGAGGGAAAGGCAGCAATGAAAAAATAGGCTAAGTTCAACCACAGTTCACAGAAACCTGTTGACCTAGAGATGAGGGAGAGAAGAGGAAGGGCTGGTTGGTCCAAAGTGTGGTGAGACCTGGGGACACCTGAGCCCATGGACAAGAACATAGCCACAGAAGGCTAGAGCTGGGAATGAAGCATCCAGTGGATATGAGGTGAAGGG